GCATAGCGTTTCAAATTGTCTACAAGTCACAAGTCGCAAGATTGCTGAGGTTTGCTAAAGCAATTGCGATTAACCGATGGAAGCCCTCCCCCTGTGCCAGCAAAAAGAACTGTATGTTAGTCTCTACCTACCCTGGTGATATGGTCCTTTTACCCCTCCCTCTTTTATGTTTTTGTCTGTTTTTAATGTATTTTGCCTCACTCTGTTGCTATGCTAAAGCCCTATATAAACATTGTATTTTCTGCAGTATGCACCATGTTGGGATGCAGCGAAATCGTCCTGGACATAAATCGTGCAGTATTGCAATATGGTCTTTTCTTTTCAAATTCGACATCCGCATCCAGAGGCACAAATAGTCCATATTGTTCTCAACAATCCGATTGAGTTTTGTGGCTAATTGGAGGAAGGAATCAATAGAGGGATGTTTCTAGGTAGAAGTGGTCAAGCTTTTTAAGTGGACATCAAGATCGAGTCTGTGAGTTCAGATTCTCGCCCTGCTAACTGCGTTTTTGTCTCTCGCATTTTTTTATCTCTGGTAGTCTTCGACGGGCCACGGCTCCTTTATAAAATTTGATTTTAGAACTGCAGTTCATAGAAAAATAAATGAAAATAAAATTATTCGGACGGGCAGAAAATCTCGCTACTTAAACAACGACTCAAACCCTCAAGTACTTTCACGTGAATTCTTAGGATCACACAAGGTTAGTTCACAATTTTGTTTGATTATATAGGGAAATAAAAACTGAAACGCTGGGAGGCACTGGATAGCTACTGTGATCTGAGTAGAACTCATCAGCAGTGCGGATCCATCGATCCGACTGAGGATCCAATCCGGGACTTAATAGGTACGAGAAAAATGGAGAACGGTCTAATCCGCTGCTTCGTGGTCAAGTGGGTAGTATGCTTGCGTTCTCTCCGTGAAGTCCCGAGTTCGATGGATTCTCACCGCTGATGAAACCCAATCAGGTTGAAACAGCGGTTTTGTTATTACTTTCTTCGCCGTGTATAGGACGATATTTACTACATAACAATGATAATTGTAAAAACAGATAAACTACCGACTGACATAACTGTGTGAATTGTTGTTAAACATCTATTGTTTCGAGAAAACATGAAAACATATATAATAACCCGGTTAAAGTTGAAAATAATTATTATTGTGATTTTGATGAGAAGTAAACTCGTTGTCCTCTGGCTTGATCAGGCGTTAATTACATCAGGGGTTTACGTGGTTCTCCGCTCCAAGTCCGAGGGCTTTGGTTGTCGGTCACTATCAGCGAACAGGTGAACATTCTGTATGCGGGATTTATGCAATAAACTGCTCGATACACGTGATTTTGCTGCAAAGGTGTGGCCCGGGTCGATTGGTTTCGACTTCATCTACTTGTTACCACATATCTTCTCATTCTTTGTACTGCGAATATGGAATTTTAGAGTTTTAGGTTAATTCATTCCCACTTTTTAAGTAATGCGATTCTCACATTGAATCAAGTTGGCTTGATCGTACTCACACAGTTAGCAATCTCTTCACAAATCTTGCACAGATACATCTGATGCTAACCATTGACTTTCACCAACAAAACTAGCTGAGAATGTCATCCTGCAGTCGGATGCCACACAGATGAACTATTTTCTTCCTCTCCATATTGGTCTGTTTAGGTTCAAGTTGAAGTAGATATTTCAGTGGGTTCAGTTAAAATTTGACAGGCATTCTAAGACGATTTCATGTTGCCTTTTGACAACTGTTTATGACACGTGACTTGATTGCTAATCACGCAAAGACCTAACTGCCAAGCACTATGGTTACTGATGTATTCAGGTGTGGTGCAATTATTAATTTATGGTCGTCAGTCAACATCTGACGTACAAGCATACAATTGACTTTTTAGTTTGTAACTTGCATATTAAACATGCACAGGCTGATCAGTATTGTCAGATCACATGGTGCAACAAATGACTGACAGTAGTTCCTGGAAATTGAATTGGCAGCAAACTGACTATTTGATCTTTCCGAAGACCACTTAGCATTTCTTGCTGGAATATATATGCTATCATACTCTTGGAGTGAGAATAAACTATGAGAACTGGTTTGACTTGTCATTTGGGGAATGGACTGATACTCTCACAGATAAAATAATGTAAATACGTATAGATACGAACAAATAAAAAAGTACCAGTGAAACTGAATATCACTTTATTTATGAAAATGATCCCAAACTTTGAGAATAAACTTACTCGAAATTGTAAATCCCCTTCGACTTTTGTGTCAAAATCATAGAGCGCATAGGCGTGTGGTTGACCGTACTGTATAGCAAAGTCTCCGGCGCGATGGTCGTGGTAAGCTGGTGCGCTAGAATCAATCATGTTGCCAAACGAGGAACAAAGACTTATTTCACTTGAGATTGGTTCCTCTGGTTCGTCTGCGGCGCGAATGGAATTTGGACGTCTTGGGCTAAAGGAGGCACCAGGGGAGGAAGAATAAAGCTGCGCCAATTCTCAAAATCATTATTATTCTCACTCCCAATTGATATTTTCTCGTAATCATTGGTAAGTGATAGAAATTGAGGTTGCATGCAAAAACCGCAGGGCTTCACAATAAACATAGGGCACAAATTTTCTGATGCAAAAGAACGCTTTCAACTATATTTAGCTCAGTGAAAAACATCTAGAAATAAAAACTGTCGTTGAGCGGTATTTATTTCAATGGCATTTGCATAACTGACCGTTCAACTTTTCATTCAAAAATCTAATTCAGTGAGTTCCAGAATTTTTGATTTTTAACGTACACAGTGCATTGCTACACAGAAGGAGCTGTCATTTGTGTGTTTGCATTACCCATTCTTGGTTGGTCGTAATTATCAGGCTTATAATTGTCCTGCCCTTACAACAGTTGAACACGTTGAAAACAAATGAACTGTTTCATAGAAATTTCACAACCTTAAACAGAATTAGCCCTTCTTTGAAGATATTAGTCATCAACTACATAACTTGAGGGTAAATGTTTCACATTCGCAACCAAATTTTAGGGTTTGACTCCCGACGGAGGTACAAAACGTGGGCATGGTTGACGAGTCACAAAAGGGAAGAAATAACAGACCAGTTCTCTTCAGAATCACACAATAAATTGATCAAAAATAGACCGAAATTTAGCTAACCGCATAAATCGATCAAAGAACCACAATGGTTTATTCAACTGAGCGTATTAATACGATGACACATACAGGGCTGACAATCGATGGATATAATTTTTCCCAGTTGAAGGAGTTTTAAAGTACTTTATGCTTTATGTAACCTGACAATGAAACGTAAAACATGCAAATAAAAACTGTTTCCAAAAGTTGCGGTTCACTGTTATCAACTCTCGCGGGTAGTGTAAACCTTTGACGATTTGATACTTCATGAAATAAAACCGACTTGTGTGTATTTCACAATAAGTAGAGATTCTTGCTAAAAACCGGTGAAGGACAAAATTTATTTTCATTTATTTTCGCCTGTAGTCTTGCACATACGACAAAACAGTTCTTTGACTTGGCTCTAATAAGTTCTGTTTTACCAGCGTAATCTTCCCTTTGGCATTCCTTCCCACCGATGGAAGTTGTTATTGATAGTGTTTCCCTCTACAATCCTGACAATTTTGGTATAATATTTCAGACTGATATTTTAAAATATGTTTGACTTGTGTTATTATGTTACCACTTTGATTCTACAGTACGGTAGAATACTAACCCTTATTTCTCAACTTCTTCGTTTTAAGAAGTTTCGTGCTATGAAATGTGATTGCATGATCCAAATCAAGGTGTTTTCCGTATATGTTAAACCCGAAACGTTGCACTCTATCTATACTAACCAACAATTTGTAGTGTGTGTGAGTGTCAACGTTGATTGTTTGGAGTCAAACCATTTTGTCGGTAGAAAAACAACTTGCAGTTCATCCACTGATATGAAGAAACTGAATGCCATATTCAGTCATCCTTCGTCAGCTGCTACACATTCCAGGTAGTTGACCCCGAACTCTTCCAACATCCTTTCAGAGTTTGAACGTATCTCTCTCAGTGATACGAATGGACTGTTGTACTCTTTAAGGCATCAACTGCGGTGAATCTAGATTACCCCAGCCCCACAAGCACAAGTCCAGAGCAAAACCGTCCCAGGTCAGTAACCTTCACTTCTACCGGCTTAGAGTTGATGAAGCGCTTGATTATAGAACTTCTTCTGATATTTCAAACAAATTCCTAATGACATTTATCGATCTGCTTACAGTCATTTTGTTTGCACGTCTATGAATGACAAAACAAAATTTTTTCACTATGATTTTGTAGAATACTCCTGAGCTTTTAATTCGAACTATAATGTGACAGGATACGACCTTACGGCTGTCAAACTTGACTGGTTGTTCAATGGGTTCTCACAACGATATCACTGCCGTAATTTGGGAAAAAAACAGTCAATGTCATCACTGAATAACTCAAGTATGCCAAAGGGTGCTAGGTTGTCGTTGTATCAGTTTACAACTTATCCTGGTGACTTTCTAACCCCTACTCTCAGTAAGTCATTTCAATCACACTGACAATACAGTTATTTCTTCTCCGTTTTCTAGTCGATCTGAATTTGAATATTGCAAAATTAACGAATCTCATCCTCTTTCACATTTTGTTCTATTCGGTCTTCCTCTGAACTTTAAAATCGCTCAGGATGAATCTTTACTGTAAATCGTTCCTCGTCTTTGTCTGGTAATTTACAGATGGAAGGAAAATCGATGAACAGAATGGGTTAATTGAAGTACTTGGGGGNGAGGGAGAGACACTCTTGAAAGTAATCTTTATTACTTCCTGTTTCTCGGAATCTAAAAGAATTTTCCTTACGAATTAGGAACTTTCATTGCTTATGTACCAATCAATGAACTTCGTTCGGCAGTGTGCTATCTAAATACTCCCCTAATATCCTCTTACAGTTTTCTATGACTGGCTAATTTCAAATTGATGAGATGTGGACTGATCAGTCATGTTTCCCACAATCCTCTATCTATCCTGACAAGGCAAATTTGTGAAGGACATGCTTTTCTTTCACTCGAATTTTGCAAACAGGATTTTATTTGACAGTGGTCATTTGTAACACCTTATACCACAACTATCTCAGCGTTTAGGCATCGTTATTTTGAAGCTTGCCCCTCCCCCCTTCCTCACCGACACAAACAAAACAGCTGCAGTGTATGAAAAACTTCGTACAAAAGAAAATAAAATATATTCAAATTAAAAAAACCCCATGCTACCGTGGGATCGCGATAGACGAAGTGTGATATGATGAAATCCCACAGTGAATCACATTTCCTCTTTGCGCACCAATTACTGGCTTTGAATGTCCGCGTGCAGAAGTGGTATGATATGTTCTACTGCTCGAATTAGGAGATACGAAGTGAATACATTTAGTAGGTAATTTTCCTTTTTTGTACGGTTTCTTTACCTTGATCACAGTGATGGGTTGGTTTTATCCGAAAGCTTGTGCATGAACTGCCAAAGGAGAGATGAAATACAGTTTGGTACACCTGGAAGACGGGACTAGTATGATCAATGTTTAGATGAACTGAGTTATATGGCTGAATATCATGGGAAGTGTCACTTCTACATCTTCTGAACCATCCGTGTAACTTTAATTCGGATGAATTCTGTATTCTCACTGTGACACTACCTTCAACATTCCAATCTTCCGTCTAATCTCTCAGCTAAAGCAGGGAGCAAAAGACACCAACCAAAACCGTTACAAAAGCATGCATGGTTATATAAAATAAAATGGAATGAATTGGATGGAGCGTTGAAAAGAATCACATCACTAACTGCTTGTATAGATCGAAAGTGAAAGAGCACATAGAATCGACTAAACTCAGATCGCCATGTTTCGTTGAAGTGGTCTCAGATGGATCCCCCTTGAACTTCCGTTCCACAGACACTTGCCCAAGTTAGCTGAAGCTCTTAGACTGATCGGTTTACGTGTGCGTAAATCGAGGGCTGTTAACATGATAGAGATGTATTTTGCTGTGACTGAGTTTCACAATCTGGAGAACCGGCATGTAACACTGAAGGCAGTTTCCACGTTGGTTCTTTGGGCACCGTGAACAAAGATGAAACTAGAATCCATGTTTAATAAAGCAGTCCAATTTGGATGATCCTGTTGAACTGGACAAACGGACAAACAAATTCCTATCCTCGGGATTGGAGTAACTTTATCTATAGGCTCACTCAAAACTAACATGAAACAGGTCAGCTGCGGTAGTTTATCTATCTCGCACATTCCGATAACCCCTAAAACCATGTCACACAGCGTAATTTGGCATTTGAAGTTATCAAACTCTGAAACAGGAAGTCAGTTTCACACATTGTGTTTGTCTTATGATATAAAGCGAACTTCCTAGGTGGTCTCTAGTGTTTGAAACAACATCGAACTTGTCAACTAGTTTGAGACAAGCAAATCCATATTTCTGGCTTTTAGGTCCATTAGACAGATTTAACAATATCAATTATACGATGGGATCTTTGGCTTGCTTTAATTGTCTAAACAGTCCCACAGAGCACATTTTCAAATAGAACAAGGAGTGGCGAACAAGCTCGTTTTCAGTGATTCGTAGTCATGCCAAATACATCACAATAAATATTACGCTGTTTATATATAAATCAGTATTCAATCATAAAAAACGTAAACAAATGTTTCGGGAAAGGGAAAATAACCTCATGGGTTATCCGGGGCTAAGTTCATCTTGAGACCGGATATAGAATTCTCAATGATCGCATAATTGTTAGGTCATCCGATCGTTGGGACCGCTCGGCATTATATATAAACAGCGTAATATTTATTGTGATGTTTTTGGCATGACTACGAATCACTGAAAATTTGCTTGTTCGCCACTCCTTGTTCTATTTGAAAATATCAATTATAGTTTGTATGGTTATCTTATTTTGTCTTATTGATTCGTGTAAAATAAGTTAAAAACTCTAAATCAATTAAATCGGTTTGTGATTGTTCCACCTATTTTGGGGCAACAATTATTTCAACTAACTTGAATGACTAATAATTAACAGAAACTTAAAGATTCAAATTTCATCTGAAAAACTACCAACTGAGCTGTTTTGTTAGTTATTTTTAGTTCAAAAAACCTAAATTTCTTTCAAACGGAGATACTGGGAAAATGCTCCGATCACAGAGCTATTAACGTGTATTCATCATCACTAATAAACATAAATGCTTTCCCATTTTCGATGTTCATTGTGATGATCCAAAATGTCTAGAGTAATTGATTAGAAGTTCAGTTCAGGACCATTTTCTGGAAGAGTTAGTTATCCTGTGCATTTACTGGTGGTCGTTGAAAATTTCGG